TTACTTATTTCATGACTCTGTTTGAACCTTTTAAGAGGACGTCGCACCCGCATGTGTTGTCTCCGTCTTACACATGTACATACCAGATTTCTGTTCACTATTATCACTAGGGTCAAGTCCGTTTTAAGGGGAGAGGAGAGATTTTCTCTTTGAGGCCATAGCTTGGTAAGATCAAAGGATGGTTTGAGCTTAAGAAACCACTGTTTGTGACTCCTTAACTTATATTAGTGCCAAAAAATTTAACTCGGCACTGAATAGGATGCTGTCGGTATTGATATTAGAATCAATTGGCCTATCATAAAACTTTAAGGTAAGAACATTATCTGTGTTCTCTAGTTCTGTTTTTTACGATATTCTAATTTATATGTGAGTTATGAGTATGGAAAATTGTATGTACTGTATGTAATTTATATATATATATTATATATTATATAAATTGTATATGATCTAAGATGTAAGGTTATGCCCTAATAATTACTTTAATAATCATAGTTTAATAATATATTTAAACCGACAACATGCTTACTAATACCACAGAATATATTTAATTTATTCTGTTCAAATATAATATCTATGATAATGTGTGCTAACAGTTTGTTATTAACTAATGACATATAGTCACAGAATTATTCTGTGGTACAGTAATAACGTTTTATTATTTTTTTTATTAGAATAAGCCTCGGCAGCGAAGGCCACTGGCTGACGTTTGACAATTAACAATTATATAAGATAAGTTATTACAATGATTTTGTTAGTACATTACATATTATGGTTAATTTTTTACAAACGTTTTATTTGTTATCATAAAATTTGATTTTTTCAGGTATTGTACCTAATTTGTGAATGCACTAGCACAAGCCAAGTCAATTTTACATCATGTTTTGGTTTAATTCAATAAGTGTCCAGTAGGTAGGTACATCGTACTGATGAATATGTATTTTAGAGTTAACTAACTCAAAATTTTCTACAAACCACTGTATTAAATGTTTTAATTATTTTGACTACATTTTATTAAAGTTAAATGTTTTCTATTATTGGAAAGGTATCCAAAATAAATAGTAGATATTGCAGTATAAATACATTTTTAAACCAGAAATCCGTCTTCAAAATGTATTTGGTTGTTATAATGTTATTAACTACTTTATTGATTAGGTGTTAACATGTGAAAATATTACCATTATTGATATTGATCGTTCAGTATTAGAAACTTAATTTGAAATAATAAATTTATTAAATTTTTATATTATTACAGCATATTAGTACCTATATTATAATATACACAATAGAGTATTACACGTAGGTAGATGTATTAACATTAAAAATGCTGAAAAAAATTTCATTTATATGGGTACTTACCTAAAATATTAGTTCACTAAAACTATTCCATATTAGGAATAACATATCGTAACGTATTATGTATAACTCTGTGCAGGATCAGCTAGTATGTGTGTAAAGGTGTTATAATTAGAAATAGACTTAAGTATAATTTTATTTTACTTGTAATAATTGTAAAATCAAAAATCACCAAACATTCACTATTGTAATAAAATTATAAGTAACTGCAGTGATTATTTAACGTCAGCTATAAAGAAAATATGTTTTGTTTTAATAACAATGTACCTAATGTATGTAGTTTATTTATAACAATATTCTTGTGGGTATTGCAACGCTTAACCTTTGGGAAGCATTTATTTTTTCTGGAGGTTAGGTGAGTGTTATTTCACAAAAGGAAAAAAATTAAGTTTAATAATAAATTAAACAAATATTGAAATATGACAATGTTTATGATAAATGCATTGTACTCACTACTCAWTGTAGCTGGGTACCTTATTAGGTAATTTTTTTATATCACAACACTCTGTTGTTTAATACTGACAAATGAATTATTGAA